TATGAGCTTAGTTCCCAAAGATTCAATATTTATTGCACACACAACTCACTGATATCTTGATAAATGGGCTTCTCAGAAAGCTATAGTACTAAAAATGAATTAGAAGATCTAAAAGGAGTGATATGGCAAAAAAAAAGGAGTGTTGCCTTCAAACACAGGTGGGATTCTGGAGCTGCAGCCTCTGTATACCCATACTGTTATTAGAATGAAGATGGGAGGAGAAATTAGAGCAGGGCAATTACTGGCAGTAATTTGATAGCTGTGTGGGAGTGTTGTGAAGTTTTCCACAAGAAATGTACCATGTCACATGGATGGTCCATCTTGCTCATTATTTTGTCTCTTTTGGTGGCAACCAGAGAGGCTATCTGGGGATATATTGCAAGCCTTGCTGCTGTCTGTGGTCTATTCCCTCATCCTGTATACCTTGAACTTATCTAAGAGTACATCCCTGCCATTAGCTCCTGCTGGCAGTCTTTGTCACCTGTGAATCCCTCTAATCCCTTTGTGATTGTGCTGTTGCTATCTACCTCCATGACTTACCAGTGAATGAATTCCAGAAGTTCATCATTGCCTGTGTTCAAAAGAAAAAATCATATTTGTTAAAAGCAACTAAATTTTTCCAGTTTCAACTGTTTCAAGTTTCCAGTAACTCTTGGATCATTTTAAACTTCCCCAGGTCCCAGATGAGGAAGCTGAGTCATAGACAAGAGCTACTGTTTTCAAGAGATGTCCTGGCTAACATGTGGCCAAGTCTGAGCACTTGGAGCCTGCGTTTTCATGGTTGCTGTTGGAAAACCAAGGGCTCTCTGTGCTTAAACTGCAGGAGTGAAATTCATTGCATCAAACTCGCCCTCTACATGACAGGCACCCAGCCACTCACGTAGGCCTCTGAGTTAAAGATGAGCCTCCAGAGGATGAATCACCCTTTTCTAAGACAGGCATCTAAGAGTCCTGGTGAGTCACTCCAGAAGMTGCCTCCCTGTCTCTCTTGACTACAGATGTTGCCTATTAAATCAGAGTAGATTTCATAGCTTGGTTGAAAATTGCTGAACTTCACTGAAACCTGTCCCYACCATCTTTGCACTGTAAGAAGAGATACCTAAACTTTAAGTCATCTTAAAAGAATTTTGGCTAAAGGGGGAATGCTGGCAGGGTGGGTGTGATGCAGCCTGACTCTCAGTCACCAGCCCCAGGTGTGAGAACCTCTCTCTCAACTCATTCACACCTGTGGCATTTGAGGACTTTTAAAACGATTAGCTTGGTTATTGAGTGATGAGCTTTCTAGTGGTCACCCATGAACAATGTATTTAAGCATAGTTCTTTGGGGATTCAGAGTCAGGTTAATTCAGTATTTTGGGTGATAAAACAGCAATTAAACCCATTATATCTACCTCACCAGTATTTAATTACGAACCTCAAAAGAAAGAAGTCCTGTGTTATGAGTATAAAAGTCTTCTTCCTCTTTTTGCGTGTTAAAAATCACATGGCAAGTGTCATCAGAATTACCTAATTAGTTTATAAACCATGGATTTAATATATCTAAGTGTTGCAGAATGTGAAAATTCTATCCAAATGAAGTGACAAATGTTACATTGATTTTCTCAGAATGGAAATTTCACTTAGTCAGCTTGTAAAATGCCTGAAGGTCACATTTTGGGAAGAGCTAGGCATTTTTCTTGTTGAGTGCGAAAGACCAGGGTTTTGTAAAAAGCTATATTAGGAGAACCAAAAAAATGTAGAACAAGCAGATGTGTTTGTTACAAGGCCAAATTGGCGTGTAACAGCTGTCCTCACCATGATCTCTGTTATGAAATATTGTTTGTTCTGCAAAGTACTATTTTTTTTCCATACAGTTTAGAAAGAAATAAGACACATTTTTACAAGATGCTTTTTTAGTTAYGAGTCTCAAGTGAGGGAGGATTTGATTGTTTTTACATAATGCCAATTTACAAWATGCAGTCACTAAATAACTGGTTTCATAACCCAACTAGCATGTATAAAAATCATGGGATTTTTTTAAGACTCTCTTGCAAGCTTAAGGCACCCTGTTTTATGGTTGATATGTGCATATATATGTGTTTATATATATGTATATATATTTGACTGTGTGTGCCCATGTGCATAGTGGATTATATTTGTCGAATGTGTGGATTTTTGTGCTTTTTTTGTTAAAGCTGAAACTGGAGATCCTTTTCTAGTGACAGCTGAGGTGCTCCTAATTCCCATGACCCCAGTATGTGATGATTCCAGTACGGGGTGGGCTGGCGGCTCCATGGATCGTGCTGGCTGGGAGGCAGGGGACGGCCACCGCCACAGGGGAGGACAGCGGTGCCTTTCCCGTGTGCCGCGCTCTGTCCCTTGCTCTGCAGGGTGGCACAGGGGGGGTTCCAGGAAGCTGGGCGAGCCGTGGCAGGGCCACGCTTTGCCCTGCAGGCCCGGCACCTGCGCGGGGAAGCGGCTGAGCGCCGGGTGCGGTAATTCCCTGTGAGAGAGGCCGAGGCAGCGGGGCGCGGATTGGGCCCGGCAGAGTCAGCCAAGGCAGGCGCGCTGCGGATTGGCCCCGCCGCGGTCAGGAGCTCTAGGCTGTTGTAAACACGGAGCCGACATGCTCCGTAGGCCGGGGGCTGACCGGCAGTAACCTCTGGGGGAGCGCAGCCCGTTTTGTTTTCTCTGCCCGCTGCTTTTTGTGCGCCGTCAGCCGGCTGCGGCTCCTGCGGTGGCGGGCGGCCCGGCCAATGGGCGGCAGGGGTGTGCGAGCCGCGCGCGCCGCGCAGCGCCAAACGCGGCCTCTCCGGCCAAAGCCGCCTTTGTTGCAGCGGCCCCTGTGCAGCCCGAGCGGATGGGGCCGAGYGCCCTTACGTAAGGCGGCGCGGGAGGCAGCGCCGGCCCGCCGAGCTGAGGTCTGCGGGGAATTCACCCCCTGGGCCTCCCCCGTGTGTGTAAGGCTGGGAGCCTCCCTCGGCCTGCAAATCCCTGGGGATCAGCAGCGGGCTGGGAACCTCTGGGAAAGCACCATCACCACCACTGTGGCSATGGGGTGCCGTGGCCCAGGGGGCAGCATCTCTTGGGGCTCTGTCCTTGCAGAGCACAGCTGCCCCCAGGCACCCACTGTGCAGGGCACCTTCCCATAGTCAAACGCTYGCCCCTGCCAGGGGCTGTGTTCCCCATGCTGAGAAACCACAGGCATCCCAGCCTGGAGCTCAGACACCCCCATGGGTCACGTTTGCCTCTGCATGTTTGCTCGAGGACTAGCTGATAGGGCAAATCCTCCTCCACCTGGCTCCTTCCGCATCGGCCTCCCCAGGCCTCCCCACAGCCCAGTCCCAAACAAGCAGGCRCTTGTTCTGTCCTGGCTTTCGGCTTTCCCAGCAAGCGGAGCGCAGAGCCGGTTGCCCCGTTAACCCTTCTCTCCCTGGATTTTTGAAGATGCAAAACTGAGGCCCCCTAGCACTGCAGCCCCAGCCTATGGATTGTACAGGAAACGGGCAGCAATAAACATGCGCGCAACCATGTCAGGCAGCAGCCCCGAAATGCTGAGCTGGCACTGCTGAAGGGCTCGATATAACAGAAAGACATATTTTAGGTGTGGGATTTAATAAGAACCTTCAACACCGAGGGAGAGGCAGTGATCTGAGTTCTGCCCTCATAAAATTCAGGCAGARGGATCATTAATTTTATTTTTAGCCTTGTCTGAATAACCAAGAGCCTTGCAGAGCTGCTCTGTTTCACTTTTTTAGGACCACAGGGGGTTTTATGGGGGACTGCAGAGCCCGGAGGAGCACTAGATGATCACGAGCAGCAGCTCTGTCCCTGCCAGGGAAGGTTTATCTGTGACCAGCGGCAGAGCTGGAGTCCTGCGCCCGTGTCCGSGGCCCGGGGCAGGCGCATGGCATCACCCTGCCTGGGTGGCCGCCTCGGCTCCGGGTGGGTGAACGCAGTCGCCTGAAGCAGCCCAGGCTTTTCCCACCACCCAAGCCGGAGCTGCCCCCCACAGCGGCGCGCGCTCCCGCTGGCCACGCGCCGCCAGCCCACCCAGCGCGCCCGCAGCGCTGGGAATGCCAAGCTGGGCTGGCTCCATGGGGGAGTTCAGCACGAGGCACGCATGGGGCTGGCCATGCATCCTGTCGTGAGGTGCCCTGGTGCTACACCTGGTCGCCACCAACAAGGACACCCGTAGGCCTCCTCCTGAGGGCAGCGATGCGGCACCGCGCTCCCAAAGCGCCACAGGGGCTGTGGAGAGCGGCTGCGTGGGGAGGCATCAATTAAAATGGTACTGGGCTGGGGGATTTCCCCCCTTCCTTCTCCCTTCCCTGCAGCTGCACGAGGGTGGGAAGCCGGGGCACTGCCTCTTCCCCTGTGCCGGGGTTAATGAACTCCTGTGGCGCGGGCGCTGCTGTGCCCGCCGCRGAGACAGGCTGCCGGTATTACGTGTTGTGCTGCATGTGTATCTGCCAGCCACAAAGTCTTGGCAGGAGGMCCTGGGTGGAATTAAACTGCAGTAACCCCACGTCGAGGGGACAGCTCACTCTCGCTCGCAGGGGCGTGACGGCCGCCACGCTGTGCACTATGAACGCCATTATAATCTGCTCGCTCATTCACCGCTCTTAAAGCAGCAGCGCTTCCTCCCTGCTTTGCAGCCTCCAGGCTCTCCTGGACAGGAGGCGGGTTTGGGAYGGTAACTCTGGATTTGGGGATGGTAACTGGTAGCTCTCCCCATCCCAAGAGGGAGTCTTACACTTCACCGGGCGCAGGCCACCAYATCCTCCGACTGAAGAGTTTTAAAGTAATGTTTTTATTATGAACAAATAAAATTTCAGATCAGCACAACCAGACATCTGTTTCCATATTAGTAGAAATTATTTCAAAAAGTTTTTTTTGTTGTTTCTCTTTTTTTTTTCATTTCCAGTACACAAAACAGAGATACTACTATGCAGAAATCCCTAAGCTGTGAAAATTGTATCCTACTCACATTTCAATAGTGACAGAGCTTAGACAATGTGCAGATTCAACTTTCCAGTCCTCCCCTAAACACCCAACACTTGGACATCTGCTTTTCACAACACCATCTAGGCTGGGAACGGTCTTGGAACACAAAGCAGTGAGGGCTCCTGGCGGCACCGATGTGCGAGCGCTACGTCTCCTTCCTCCTGCCCTCCATGCAGATCTGCACAGGGCCTCCCCACAGCCCCGGGAGGCAGGGAACAACCCCATTCTGCCGATCGGAACTGAGGCACAGAGCAGTTTTAAGTGACTTTGCCTGATATCAAGCAGTGAGCAAGTGGCTAAGCTGGAAACAGAGCCCAGGAGCATCCGCTGGGGCCCACTGCTGTGTTTCCTGCTTCTACCTCTCGCAGACTTAAGCTAAACATACAGAGGACGTGTCCACAATACAAACATGCCACCAAAAAAAAATATATATATATAAGTATATATATATATTTAGCAAACAAATTTCTACTTAAAGTGTTGCATCTGTTTCTTAATCTATCAGAAATTCTAACTCAAGTACATTCAAGATCACCTGCACCCACAGTTCAATGTAGGCAATTAAATAATTAAGAAACCCCTCGAATGTTCATAATTCTGCAAAAAAAGGAAGAAATATGGTAAATAGCTGTTAATACTCCTATGTATATTAAAGAAAAAATTAAGGCACCCAGAGATGTTTGCCAGTCTAAAGTGACTGGGCAAACACCAGGACTGTCTGGTTACTACTCCTCAGCTTCCACYCTAATTCTAGATCTCTTGACCCAAATAAGCACTTGAAATTTGAAGGGAACCCTTGATGTCAAATCCTGCTTCTCTGCTGAGAGGATGTTAAAAATTGCAGCATGTCATGGAATACTTCTCTGTCACAGGGTATGTCACACTACAGGTTAGGGATACCAGGAGCAGGGAAATCGTTCTCTTCACCTTCTCCCCTCCCACCTGCCTTTCAGATTCCTGGAGGGAGCAAATWCATCTTTTCTGGAGACTTCCATGATTGCAGAGGGGTTTAGACTAGGATAAAGTCAGCCCACATTTCAGAGCTAGTAGCATATCTTTTTTGTGTATGTTTTTTGTGGGGGAGGAAAGCAATTCTAGCCACAGCCTCCTCTGCACCCCACGGCTCCAGGATTGCCACGAGCCTTACATCAGTGCTCAAGGGTGCTGCTTCCAGCTGCTGCCTGTGTTTGGGACACTATGCGCTGGAAGGTTCCCTCTCTGTTGTCTCTCAGCCAGCAACCACATCAATCCCGGAGACATCAACACTGAGTCCCATTGATGAGCAGTAACAAGGCCATGGAAGTGGCAGAGAGGGCAAGGGGGAGAAGGACTTCTTTTCTGAACAAGAGTGTTCTCCTCCTCAGGGAGAGTATCACAGAGCCGCCCTCGATCCTGGGGCATTTCGCAGTGGCAAGAGAAAGCAAAGCTGTGAAGACTTGCTCCAAAGACTTGTCTGGATGTGGCATGGCACAGCCAAGGTAAGGAAGTCAGAATCCACTCTACCTCTGCCTTCCCTGACATGCGCGGATAAAGGAGATGCTACAAGCCCCACTACAACATCAAATCTTTGCAGCCACCTTTGACCATATCTTGTGCTTTCCTCCAGCTCCATTTTATGCATTTAAGCAACAAAAAATATACTAATGCTAATAATAATAAAAATTAAAACAATGGGGGAAAAAAAGGTATGTTCAGCCTGGTGAGGGGCTGGAGCCCACTACACCYAGAACTTAAGCCATGGTTTATACTCAAACTGTGGTCTCTGCAGCTTGCAGGAAACAACGCCCACGAGGATTTTTTTTGAAATCCAACTGCAAACTCATGTCTTGGGACCTTGGATGATGTAACTGACCTTTAAGCCAACTCAGCCACCATGGGGTGAGCAGCGTGCTTGCCACGCTAGGAAGCGAGGCGGTGGCCACCCCTTGCTGAGAGGCTCTCCACCATGCTGCAAGCTATCGGGGGGACAGCACCGGCACTGCTGCTCCAGCACTGGTGGCGATGGCATCGGGCACCGACCCACAAAACCACGCTGAGAGACTGGCAAGGAGCTCCTCTCTCCCTTGCTCTCCCCACTCCCAGGCTCTCTACAGAACATTTCAGAGAAGTGGAAAAAAACTATTGCAAGCCACCTTGGTAGACCACAGGCAGGAAAGCAACTGATTTCCAACTCCTCTCTTGGTCTAGCCCCAACTCATTACAGAGGTGGCACGTGCTGGGACCTGTATCTTGCCCAGGAGGCATTGATTCCCTCACTCTTGATTCCACCTGGCTCCGTGTTGGTTTTTGGCAGGCACTTGTTAATCAACAGAGTGGAGTCCATGTAGACAGGGAGACCAGCTCCCTCAGCACTCTGAGATACCCTCACCTCCTTGCTGTATTTCTAGGCTGTTCTTTGCTACCAGGACCACTCAGATGTGGCACCAGCTCTGTGCTCAGTACCAGGGACTCCATAGGATGCAACTGGACATATGGACATCTGCTTGCTGCCCATCAGGAACCCTGATCTTCCAGCACATCAAGCAGTTTAACACAATGGTGGAGCTTTGGTTTAAAGCCTTCTCCCTCTCTCTGTTTTGGCAAAGTCCCATTTGCTGGCAAATTCTTGATGGCTTCTGAACAAAACTACCCTGGCCCAGTCCAGCCATCAGGCCTCAGGCGCCACAGCCCTCCATCTGCCAATACGGCCCCTCTCTCTGCAGCTTTCCAAAGGGACATGTGGAGTCCAGTGCCCGGTGCTGCATGCAGTCTCTGCAGACAGCCACAGCCCCAAGGCACAGCAGGCCGGTGATGGGTAAGAAGTTGTGACACTAAGGAGGTAATAAGGCCACTGTACCTCATGACTGACTGATGGACCTGCCTGGAGCTCTTCTGAGACTGTTGGGGCTCTCACCTCCCCAGCTTCTCCCAGCTTGGCCTCCTCCTGTGTGGGCCAGAGAAGCCCACTGCTGTGAGGCGCAAGGGGGAGAGACAACCTCATGCTCTCTCTTTCTGAGGGCAAGGGGATGAGGATGCTTTTCCCAGAGAAAGCAGTTTAGTGATGCCAAGTGTCAGCAGCCCTTGAGAAAGGAGGAGGGACAGAGGAAGGAGATGGGAGGGTTTCTGAGGGGGTCCATGTGGGAAAGAGAATCACTGACTTTGGCTCAACTCTTCAGCTGGCTGGTACAGACTTCCCTTAACTCCGTATTATTTAGCCGGCTGCAATGGGGATAGCCTAGGTTACTTTCTACTAGGTCCTCTGCCAAGAAGAGACAGGGACGAAAGTAAAGAGAAGGAGGGAACAGAGGGGCTAAAGGGAGAGAGAAGAAAAACAAAAGGGAAAAGAGAGGAGGGAAAGGGTGGCCTTGCATTATAAAGGCAGGGTTCTAGTTTTTAAATACATCACGTAAAATACAGTGAGAGGGGTTAAAACTCATTATCGTTATCTTAAGCAAACTGGTAGCATTATTCAGTAGTTAGTAAACAGAACATTAAATCTCTGTCCAGCGTGTTCAGAGGGGTCAGAAAGGGAGAAAGGGAGGAAAAAGGAGGAAGGAGAGGTGTGGATATGTGTGTAAGGGGAGCAGGAACTCAGCCACTCTTCTGACTCCCTTCTCCAGTCCGCATTTTTCGAGCCAGGATGACTTCCTTGGAGACTCTCTTGCGATCGCTGGCCAGCCCCAGGAGGCACATGAGGTCGATAAAGGCTGTGGTGAAGTTGAAGCGCCAGCCATACTCACTGGTGGAGTAGTCGTAGGGGAAGGTGTGGTGGTAGTTGTGGAAGCCTTCTCCTGCAAAACAAAACCAGGGAGAAAATGTTGCCGAGTTTTTGGTTAGGCCTTCTTTCAATGGCCACAAAGCACCCTGTTCCTGGAACAGACCATCATTATGGGTACCAGCTAGACCTGCAATGCGTCTGTGACAAGCGAGGAGAGGCTACTCCCATAACACAGATAGTCCTAATGCCAAAATCCAAAGGGCATCTCCAGAAGGGAGTAATGAAGATAGACTCCATTAAATGACCAAACCTACTCTGGAGGGTGTCAAGCTGACCCCTTCAATGACATTCTCTGGGCTATTGCTTCTGTTCACTGAATCTCTGCAGCTCAGATCCCTTCCTACTAAAATTCCAGAAGCAGATCCTTCAGTGGTGGGAATCAATGGAGTCCCAGTGATGTATAGAATGCTGCAGTGATTCAAACAAGCTGCCAATCAAGGCYTGGGAGAATAGGACATGGCAAATGCTAATCTTGGAATGGCCAGCCTAACCTTGGGGATAATTCCTTAGCATTTCTGGGGAAACATGAGAGATTTGGCTTGTCTCACACTCAAGCACCCCAAAATAATCAGCTGCTCCTGAGAACATATTCAAAGGTGCACTTGCTGCTGTGTTCAAGTTGATAAATCTAAGGCAGATAAGCTGGGACTGCAGCGCAAGATATTCAGCCTGGTGAATGGCACAGAGAGACCTTGCATCAAGGTAAATAAAATACTGCTTTTGAGATAAGAAGGTGCTAAGTGTAGCAGAGTGTTTTCCAGCCCGGAGGGAGGTTGGTGCAAGTTGATAACCCCACTGCCCTTATGTACTCAAAAGCCATCCTGGGAAACATCCCCAGAATGCAAAGGCTGCTGGTCTGGATGGGAGAGGCGTAGGGGGAATTGAGGATATCTGGATTCATAGGGCTAATCCATCTTGCAGGAACACCTGAGGAATTAACTCTTATGTCTTCCTGGGCTGGGTTTTTGGGTAGTATAGATCGACTGCGTGTGATCTGCCCTTGACAGATCAATGATGTCTAAGCCACACTAAGAAGTTGACCTCTCTTATTTCTAAATACATATTACAGTCCAGCCACCAGCCTACAGAGTGGACATGGTGACCCTTTGCTCTTTCCTCCCCACCCAGCAGGTCAGCCCAATAGAGTGGCTTTCTCTGCTCCACTCCAAAAGTATGTGAAGCCCCTCCAAGGGTACACAGGATCAGTCCTAACTCTTAAGTCTGCAAGCAGGGAAAGACAGAGACACTGAACTTACCTAGGGCTCCCAGGCTGACCAAGGGGTTCTCTCGTGGGTTGATGTTCTTATCATATGGTCGGTTGCCAAACATGTGAGCGGCACTGTTCACTAACCAGGTGGCGTTGAGCCCTATGACATAGCGCAGGATGGCTGGAATGAAGAAGCTGATGATGATAGACTCATCCCAGAAGCACCAGGGCACTACAGTGGGCAACGTGAAACACAGCAGCACCACTGAAGGCTTGTAGTACCTGGAAAGAAGGGACCAAAAGTAAGCAGTTTAGTGGCAGAGGCACAGCAAGAAGAGCTGATTCAATCCCACCTTTCCAGGATTCATGCTCACATGAGTAATACAGAGAAATCAAATATAGAAACACTTCATCCTTCACTACATCTTTTGCTCTGGATACATAGAAATGCTTCTTGAAGACTCACAAGTCTTATCAGTGGGCAGAAGACAGACTGAACTCCTGATTTCCCTGCCCCAGTCTTGCATATGCACAATCCAATATCCTTTTCAACATGAGTCCATACACCAGCTGCTGCTGTTGACCTGAACTGCCATCTGCTTCTCTGCTCTGGGGGGTCCCATAAAGGTATCTGCACACTGTAGAGTCTCATGGAAGATCCCTTTCATAGCTCCTCCTCCATAGCTTTGACCTGAGGTTGCAAATCCTTGCAGACTTGGCCTTGTGTGTCATATACCCTCCCAAGAGCAGGTATAAGCAAGGGACACTTTTCTCCCTCTAGCACCAGGCATGCGGAGCCTCTCATACTGGAAAGATGGGAATGGAGAGAGCCAAACCACTCAGATGAGATAGCAGAAAAAAAATCAGGGTACAAAATGGAGGAGAGCCATAAACTTTTCCTGCTTCATGTGGAACTGAGCTAGGGACCTCCAGAACGAGGACAGTTACTGCACAAGTTCAGCTTCCCATCCCCACAGTCCTGGTAACATGTGTTTGGATCAGGTGCATGTAGGAAGATGCTTTACTCAATCACAAACCCATTGCAGTGGGCACAGGGTAAGCRACAAGCCACCATGGCTCAGATTCATGCAACCAAAATCCCAATTCTGTCCCCGAGCACAGCAGTTTCTCCCAGCTAGCAGCTCTCACAGCTTAGACACACTCCACACAAGAGGCATCAATAAATCCAGACTCCTTCTCAATGACTGCYTCTCTTCTGCCCCCATTTTCAGCCTCTGTTTCACCATACTTTTTCCAAAAAAACCGATGGGAGAGTAGRGAAGGCTGTTGTCAATAATATCTCCAAGAAATGTCCTGGAGGCACCCCACAGGCTGGCTCATAACCAGCCAAAGCGACAGGCTGGACAAGTGCAGGCAGTTATGTGGGTATTTGACAGCAGGAAGCTCAGCTTACTGCAGACAAGATGGTACAGGGTCTCTGGGTGAAAAAGGCACATGGATTTTATACGGTAGCTCTAGTTCCTGAACATTTTCTACAGGAGAAGCAAGTTCATACCATGGCAAAGCCTCAGATGGGCTGCAGGTGCAACATCTTACATGAGATGCCCTCAGTCCCCTTCATGCCACTCTCTTCCCTTAGAAGTGCCTGGGCTTCCCAGTCCTCTTACAGGGTCCCCACTGCACTGCACACCAGGTTGGCCTGGGGCAGCCCTCGCTGCTCACCTCCGTTGGAACATCACCACTTTGTCAGCCCTGACATCGCTCAGGTCRAGTTTCTGGCCCTTCTCGATGACATCGGGGTGCTTGCGCACCAGCAGCCAGCCAATGTGGGAGAAGAAGAAGCCCCGCTTGGCATTGTGAGGGTCTGCATCTGTCTCGGAGAACTTGTGGTGAACACGGTGGTCTCGGACCCATTCGTAGATGTCATTCTGCAAGGAAACGGGAACAGAGAGTCAGGGCTAGAGTGAAAGGCTCTCTTTGAATTAAGAAAAGACCCTAACAATTAAAGCACCTAAATCCCATGACCTTAACCCATATTAGCCATTTTAACTCTCTTCAGGATTTGTGGGGTTTTTTGATCTTTTTAAACAAAGAGGTTGGACCTTCTTTGTTCAACCATTTTATTTCTTCAAAATCTGTGTTGCTTTTTGTGGGCATTCTTTTCTCTCCTTTTTAAAAAATAATAATTTTAAGCTTTGATCAACACATTCTCTATACTGGTCACTGTCTGTTCCCCCCACCCCCGCAGCAGCCAGACTTAACTGGCCAGAAAGTGTCTTCTCCCTCACATCCTGGGCTCTGGTTCGTCACTTGTCCCCTGTCTCTGTACCAGCCAAGATTGGCCAATTCTGCCCCTTCCCTCTGCACTGTCTGCACTGACATTTTCCATGGGTCAACTTGCCTCACTTGCCCTAGTGTTGCCAAATCAAATGGGACTGTTTAACTGGGGAAGAGTTTTCTTAAACGTTTTTTTTCTTAGAAATCAAATGTCCTAAAAAAAGTTTTCCTCTTTTGAAATAGAATAAACACACCATTTCAGTGACAATTATCACAAAATAACCCACCCTTTCACCCCTGAAGAGTTCAGTGCAAGCCACAAAATCAATAGTTTGAAAAACGTCAAAGTTTTCATCACTTGTATTAAGAAATAATTGTTTTGGCTAGTTTAAAGAATTGCACCTAAATTAATTCCCTATATTCATTCCTTTATACCAAGATTTCAATGTGCTAGAAGCAGCAAACTGAGAGATCCACACATTTTCCTATTTTCTGCATTCTGCAAGAGGCTCCTTAATCTCCTAAGTACATGGGGCTTTTCCTCAAAGCACTCAGGAGGCTGGGAAGCAGCATAATTTTCTCTATCTTTACTCCTGCAAACATTAAATGACTTGTCCTTCAACTGAGAAGAAATGATTGCATAGGCTATGCAATGAGACAGTGATAACATGAAGCCGGATTCATCTCTTGCTTATATCTGAATACTGGGAATTGCTGCCTTCCTTTCTTCCAGCCCATCCTGAATATATCCAAGAATCATAAGCCCCCACTGATGTTAGCTATAACTTGGTCACTCAGCACTCCCCAGAAGAGAGGGGCTCAACAGTCTTTCCCATCTACTAAGCAGGGAAACACAGTCAGTACACATGCTGGAAATATTTCATCTGTGATGCAATATTGAGTCTTCTTCCCAGTCTGATATGGACAGCTTGGGTTTGCCCATCTGGGGATGCCTTCTTTGTCTCCTGGAATTCTTTCACTGGAATTGGAAGGCAAAAAAATTTGGAAAGAGACCACATACTGACTGGATAATGGTACAGTAGCTGGAGAATGACAGCACCTCATCCATCACAACCTGTGCATAAACACTCATAAATCAGAGGTTTCAGAGTTGGAAAGTTGGGATCTTGACGCAAACATCAACACATTGAATTTCTACAGATCTTAGTTTAGGGTCACCTCTAACTGTGACCTTATCTGAAAATCATGGCTTTATTAGACTAGCCTGCAGGCCTGAGAAGAACTCCTCCTTTGTCAGGAGTTTCCAACTACAGGGTGCAACCAGAGGAGCTTCTGCCGAGCTGCAGCTGCGCGGTCTTGCAGGTGGAAGAGCTGCCACATGGTGGAACTGCTAAACTCTCTGAAAGCACAAGTCACTGGTCACTATTTCAGTAGCCAGCAGGCATTCTCTGGAGCACCTCAGATAAGATAATTTAKGGTATTCTTTGGCTTTAAATGATACCATCTGGATTTCAGAGTGGCTGCTACTACTGGCAATGAGGTAAATTCAGAATAAACCTTTTGATCTCTTTGGAAATAACTATTTAAAAAAAATCCATGGGGCATGGTACTGAATTTTCAGTAACACTTTGGATTAGTTGCTACTGAAGCTGAAATATCTGTCCATCTCACATCTTTGTCTATCCTTATCCCCTAGAGCAATAGCTCAGCAAATTCCCGCTCTGCCCTACAACCCTGCAAAAGACAGTCGTTGTGTAGGACGGGCCCATACACACCAACCCGTCCTCTTTCCTTGCTGAGCACTTGATCAGTAGCTGGAATCAGCAGCATGGTCCTTCCTGTTCCCTATGAAAAGCTCTGCTTTGGTACTAACAGGGAATAGGATAGGAAACATCAACAGGACTGATGTTTCAGAAAGTTTTTCGAGTCTAGATAAAAGCATCTGCACCCTCTTCTGATTTTGTGACAATGAGATGACATCCTCTTGAGCTACATAGTGGAGAGAAACAGATGATGTCTCTGAAATAGCTCCTCCTCTTGAGCTTTACTCTTCTCCCCCAGCTAAGCTGAAAGATCAGTTAAGCACACAGCACTGACTGCTTTTTGTGCACTTTCTTCTAGTAGAAAGTGCTCCATCCTGCCACACTCCTGAGCACTTCCTAGGACATTAGCAAGACTGTACAAGGACCTTTTGAACACAGTTGGGTAGATAGAGTGCTTAGAGCTCTATCTCACCAGCAGACATTGGAGATCTCCTTTTTTTTTTTTTTTTTTTTTTTTTTTTTTTTTTTTTATGTACCAATCCTATTTGAGTTTTTACTCTAGTTTCTACCAAAGGGCCACCTCTGCTAATTTCTACAGTCTCTAAGGACTTCCGGTTTGCTTGCTTCATGAACTGTGAAGTGCTCTCATGTGTGGTTAGGCAATATCCTGAGGTGCTTATCAGCTGCCTGCAGTCACTTGGGCCACTCCGAATGGGCCCAACCCTTCTCTCCTTGAAACTGCATTGCCCTGGGATGGCTCTCTGGAAGCTAGTGGCAGAAGCTAACAACATGTTATTAGCTATCATCATTTGTACTAGCCACAGAACTATGCCCTGAATGCATAATCTCAACAAGTRCTTGGTCCTTCCACAGCAGCAATTGCTACAAATTGCTCTCAAAACGTGCAGATGTGTCCCCCACTTATTCCCAGTACAGTGAGGGAGAGGTGAGGCTACTCGAACAACGGAGAGCCTTGACACTTCTTAATGTCCTTCAAAAGACCTGAGAACACGCACGGGGAGACCACACCTCAAGGGAAGGGTACATTCCTGCTTTGGAGAGCTTTCCTGCCTCTGGGCTTGGCCAGCAGCCTTCCYCCACCTTGTTAGGAAGCTTTGTCTCAGGGTTTCCCTCTCAAGGAACAAGGGGAGGACACTGAGACAGACTCCAGCACTGGASTGCCACGAGGAAAGGGTAGGTTGTTGCTTACCAGGGGGTAGCAGGTAAGGGGACTCTATCTTCGGGTTGTGCCCAGTATTTGAGACATGGACTCAGRACAATGCTTCCTCCTGAGGCCTGACAGCATGAGGAGGGTGCTTACCTGGAAGGCCACGGAATTTGCAATGGTCAAGAAGACTCGCAAGGGCAATGTGGCTTTGTAGGAGCGATGGCTCCAGAGGCGGTGAGATCCAGCTGTTATTCCCAGAGCACTCACCAGGAAACACAGGACAGCTGAAGAGGAAAAGAAAGCGTGGGGACAGTTAGAGCAAAACAGCCTRTGTCAAAGCTTCAGGCAAGTTCAAACAAAGGCAGGTCTTCCCCCAAAGCTGTGCAGGCAAGATAGGAACCTCGGGAACGCCGAGACTAGGGGAGTAAAATCAGCAGTGAGAGACCTTACTCCTGCACTACGYAAAGTAAATCATTTCAACTTCTCAGGTGTGACCAAAGGAAGAAACTCCCCTTACAGGATTCATCACAGGGGCCAATCCTTCAGCATACTGTTATCTGACAYGGTAGAGGATGATTAAAATTGTATAGAGCCACCTCCTCTACACTGCTCTGGGCTAACAGCCCTACCAGGTCTCTGTGTTAACGGCCCCACCAAGGCACAGCTTTCCCACCATTCCTCCAAAGCCCATTGATCAAGGTCTAGTTGGCAATCAGAAGAGAGTTGGGTCTGAAGAGTAAAGTAACTCTTTTGCCAGAAAGGAAGGGCAAGATGCTTGCCAGAAAGACGGAGGGTATTCAACAGTTGCTCTCCCCTGCAAACTCAAAACAGTGAGAGGGAAAGCACACACATTGCAATTCATCACCCTCCAGGTCCTTTGGATACAGGAAATATCCCCAGTTTCCCCATAGGATACTTTCTTTGGTATAAATCTGTGGATTTCAGCCTGTTACATCAATCAAGCAAACAGCTCCTTATTCATATACGTAGGCCTATGGATAGAGTCTCCAGTATGCTTGACGACAACACTCAATCCCACCAAGTGCCTCTAATCAACTTTATCTTGAACGCATAAAGGAAAAAAAAAAAAAGGATAACGGATAAAGGATAATAAAAAAGGATATTCTGCTAGAAGCTTGTCTGGAATCAGAGATTGAGACATGTGCAAGGCACTGTCGCCTTGTTCTTTTATTCAGAATAACCCAGGCTTTATTTCCTATCATCTCCTGCTCCCTCTTCTTTCACCGTATCATCTCCTTTTTGTTTTTCTGCATTCCAAGCCTAATCTCATATCGGCTAAAAGCCAGTCTCAGTGGATTTAACTTCCTCTTCTGGCATTTCAACTTGGATAAACCCGCCTCACTCTCACCCCGCTGTATGACAGCCACCTTCCCTGTCTGCTGAGCTGACCATGACTTCCTGTCGTCTTCTCCCTTGGTTCCCCATCTGATGCTGAATCCAGGGCAAACCTCCGGCCAGCACATCTCTTCCTCATGCCACCCAAAGCCTCTGCAGCCTCTCAGAGGAGCTAAGAGGTCTCTGGCCATAAGTGATTTACAAGGGCACCAGAAGGGATCAAAATAAAAGTAAATGCAGCAAGATCTGACTTTTGCTGTAAAGCTCACAAAACTGAGCAAACCTGGAAGGGAAGAGGGGAGGGATCTTGGAGCAGGGTGGTTGGTTCATGTCTACCTTTGGCTTACTGACAGGGAAATATTTATTCTGGATACCTTGATGAATATCCCAAGTCCAGTGACGCTGACTTGAAGTTAGCTCATGGCAAGTTTGCTGTTGATTTTAGATTTTAAGAATTATTTAAAATATCAATCTCTATCCACACAGATTCATAAAGAAAAACCCTTGAGAAAGCACCTAGCATTTTACCCTGCTTTGCAGAACCTCTCTGGCCTCACACCCTGCAATAACAAATTAACCCACTTCTAGACATTTCAGATGCTTCCTGTTAGTGGTAGCAGCATGACACACTCCTTATGTCCCCTAGACATAAGATGCTATACTCAGAAAATCATAGGTCATAAAAGCTCTGAGCAGCTTTCTACCAAGTGAGGAAGTGAGAACACTTCTTTTGGTGAGATACATTTCTAAGTATGACAGTAACTTAAGGCAGAGTAGAAGAATCTGGGTTTAAAACCCAACCTATATGGACAGGAAACACTGGCAGATCACAGTGGACTTTGAATCAAAGATGTAAGGGGGCAACTTGCTGGGAAAAGACCTTGGCTTTCCATGGTGGGGCCAGTAGGTGTGTGTAGGGGACAGCTAATTAAACTACGCAATCACTCATCATCTTTAATAGCACTGGAACGTAACTGTCAGGGTAGGGGAGTACAGCGTGTTCAGGTTCCTCTCCCTGGCTGGGATGTTTTTTGGAAGGTATAGCTGCAAGCACAAGGAATCACAAATATATATATATATATATTTTATTTATTTATTTATATTATAGATATGGCTGGGACACCAGCTGACCCAGAAACCTGAAACCTAGTGTTTGCTATGCGAGAAAACCTTTAATAGAAATTTGGAAGAGTAACCAGTGCTTTTGTGTGCCTCACCATAAAACAGACATGGCCCTCATGCAAAGCCACTGTGGCCACAGCTTTAATTTCATGCTGCCTTTCCTACTGCTTGTATGCTACAGCTGTTTTGTATCTAAGGAGAAGATGTATTGTCTGGCTCCTGTATGAGCTGAGTCTCCATCTGAGCATAGATGGTTCCCAAGACCTTTGAGGGTACTGGCTCCATCAGCTGTACCTAAGAGTTCTTGCGACAGTGATAATGACAGCAGGAACAGGATATTAACAGCATGATTGAAAAGCCTGGTGGAAAACAGAAAAATCAGGCAACTCAGTGACTCAGAGGACTCACCCCCACAAAAGGCATGATCATAGCTTAGGCAGAGAAGGAGCATTGCACAGAGAAGAAATAAGAAAAGCTCCTTCAAGATCATGCACTCAAAATGAGATTGGAAAAGAGGATGGAGAAGGTAAAATAAAGTGGTGCTGACAACCACAGCTCCCTTCTGAATCTGCCTCAAACTGGAGGATGAAGGCACTCCATCAGTGCCACCAGTTGAGATGTCAAAGCCACACCATGACCTTAGCTGTGAAGTATCCAGGGAGCTCTAGATAAAAGATTGTCAACTCGCAGGTGATCTCGACAGTGACCCACTCAACTGGCATACAAAGAATTATGACTCCTGGCAGAAATACATACTCAGTGCTTCAGAAATGAAGCCCAAAACAGTTCAGATTCAGTCATGCCTACATGATTCACTGCCTTTTACATCTTTGGGACATAGATTCAGACTTCCAGTTACGAAGGGAAGCCAGGAATGTTTGTCACCTGCAGTCAGCACCAAGAATGGTTGTATGGAAAGGTATCTCAGCTCCAGAGGGTGTCAACAGACTGCTCAGCAGGAAGGAAAACTACAGCTCTAGTCTGTTCTGTCCTTGACACCCAGGCCCTGCTAGCTGTGTGGGTTCTAAGAATAGMAAGACAATTACTGTTTTGAAGAGAAAGATCGCTAGGGTAAGGAAATSTATGCAGGCTGCATTAGAAGGGAACAGTGTTTAGAGGGAGCAATTGGAGCTGGTGCTGCTAAATCCTAATTTCCCTGTGTGACAGAATTGGAACTTCCTCCTGGCACTCAGAGGGGGAGTGTGCTGCTGGCTAATTAAGCCTGCAGATGAGGCTGAGCAGGGAGGTGCTGCCAGCAGCAGCCTTTATGGGAAAGTAGCAAGGGACTGCTGTAAATATTGGCTGRATGCATCCCTAGCAATACTGCAATTGTTGTCTTCATATTGGCTGCAATTTTTAGATTGTGGGAGTTACCTAATTTATCCAGTAGGATTCTTTTTGGTCCAAAAATGATGCAGCAGYAACAACAACAAAAAAGAAAAACAGCATCACCCCGCTTCTTCTACTACTGGCACTGCAGGGAGCTGGGGCACTATCAGACAACTAAGCCAAGAAAAATCATCACTATTTTATAGTCCCTTTCGGTCAGGCTGACAAGGGTTAATACAAATGAATCGGTCTGCTACACCTGAGGGCCAGGAACCTGCAAATCATGTTTCCAGGGAGGATGACAGCAGCGAGGAAAGAAACAGTCACCTTTGCCTCCTGCCCTTTTGGACTCTGCTCCTTTTGACAAATGACACGAAGTCTTCCCATGATAAGTAAAGGCAAAATTTTGCCAAATGCAATGGGAAAGGCAATAAATAAGAAAGGAGCTGGCTAGAGAGCAATAGTGTAGAAGGGCTTGGAGCATTCTGGCTGCRATGAGATCTCACCTGATCAGCAACCCCAGCTCGTTCTGGGAAGCTCTGTACCAGAGAGAGATCAGGGGATACAATGGACACAGCAGTGAGAACAGCAAACAATGATGAAGGCAGGGCTGGAGAGCTTGAGAGACAAAGAGGAATTAGCACACAGAGAAATGAAAACAAAAGAGGACACAGTCACCAACACAACTGGTTTCACAGAGACGGGAACATCAAGAAGATRGTACTCGGGATGAGGAGGGTAAAATCAGGGATTTCTGCTTATAAAAATATAGTAGATAAATCATCTACCAGACAGCACAGCTGCTCACACCATCCCTACAGAGAGCACACAGGGCCATGTTGATTTGGTATTACAGGTACATACACCCTAAGGAAGGGATAATTCCTAGCACTGGGAGAACTGCTCTGCCAAGAACCCATCGTGTACCATTGGGAACAGTACAAATCTCTGCACTGCCTTGTCCTCATGTGTAAAATGGGAACTGCAGTCCTATCCTTGACAGCAGGGGTGCTGGGAGCAGCAGGTTACTGAGAAGACACAGTCACAGAGGCCTTCTACATCCCAGAGAAGGTTTGATCTGAGGAAGGGGAAGTACAAGAAGAAGCAGGGACGCCAGCCCTGTGGGGTATCCATGTCCACACTCATGCAGAATGGACTAATGGGTGACTGCGCTGTTGCAYGTAAAACAAGCTGGTCCTTTCCCACAAATGCTGTAATCCAAGGCAAGGAGCTTTAGCCAGCACAGAGGAGTGCAGCTCCAAACTCCATGCCTTCTCCCATTCCCAGTTCTCACAATACTTGTTTCTCCAGAAGCCACCAAGGAATCGCACAGTGCCTCAGAGTGGCAGGACCAGCATCTGGCTCCTCGCATGAAGAGCTCAATGAGCAAGGGTAGCAGGAGGGTTTGAGGTCAAGAAAATAGGATCGATTCCTACAGAACTGCCCCATGGACATYCTGAACAAGCATGCGATTGCAAAGACATTGCCTCAAAGGCACTGTGGTGATAAGAAGGGTGTTAGCAGAATGCAAAACAGCATTAACCTTATTGAATCAAGAGGCTCAAAACCAGCTCAGGTATTTCAGGGGATCTCAAGCAAGAAAGGCTGGCCTGATGCAGAAATCATGGCACATCTTGCTAGCGTGAACTGAAAGTGGGGCGCCCAGTTCATCTTGTCCCTCTTTGTCCGAAGCCCTGAGGATATTTGGTCTGGAGCTGGACAACCCAAGTTGTGAGCATGGTGCATGAGACACCATCACCCACCTTGCAGCACAGAGCCTAGGGACAAGAATTCCCACCACTCAGAGCAGTATTGGGAGCCTGGGAACACTCCTTCAAGGACATGCCAAGGCTGCACATTCTGCCCAGCTCTGCCAGATCCAGGAAAAATAAGTACAGGGCACTCTTAGAGCCTGCCAGGTTTTCACAGGGGAAAGACCCAGCAAAGCTTCTTTCACAGTGGCCTGCTGAAAAGCTGCCACTGTTGCTACTTCTGTTGCTGTAGCCAGCCTTTGATTCAGTATCCCTGAGTAAAGCTTATCCCCAAGGCCTTTTCCTGTGAGAGATCTGGATGACCGGAGAGGGAAAGACTCAGCGGTGCCGTGTCRAGAGGCACCCCCTTCCTGCTCCAGCTGCAATGCTCCCAGCTCCCAGATGTTGGGAGGAAAGGGCAACAGGAACCCACCAGGTCAAGGTAGGCAGGAAGAGCACGAGGCTCCAGGTGGACCCCTTCAAGGCCTGTGTGCAGCTTGGCCAGGCTCTCCCTGCTAGCTGTGTGCCAGGGCACGGGCTTGCGGCTGCTTCCAGCTCCCGGCTGAGCGCTTTGCAGGAGCACACTGCAACCAAGCGYTTTGCCACGGTGCCAGTGCGCCTCAAATGTGACCGGCCGTTTTTGTTTCAGCAAGGCCCATCTCACAAACAGCCAGGGGCTGGATTCAGTCTCCGGACCTCCCCACGGGGAACAGTTTAGCTGCTCAAATCCCTCAAGAGGCCACACAAAACCTCACAGAAAGCGCAGCCCTCAGCAGCTTGGGCCCTGGTCCCAGCTGCCTTTCAAGCAGTCACGGGAGAGGTTGGGTTCCTACCCTGGGCAAGGGCTCTACGGAAGGGGAGTTTTGCCTAGCTGCCTTCTGCTTGGCTGTGCTTTCCGTTGGAATTCCCTGCCTGGAGAGCCGCTCAAGCATTTTTTTTTCCTGCCTTTTTTCTGCCTTTTTTTCCTGCTGCTTTTATTTACTTTTTGAAAGTTGTCAGATTAATCTATGCTTTTGGAAGAAAGATAAAAGGCTGAGCTTCAGATTGAATTCTTGCCGTTTACCTTCAGCACAATTGTATTTTGCCTCTCCCCTCAGACACATGGAGTCCCTGCAGGGCAGACATCCTTCCTTGGAAAGAGCAGTAATGGTAATTTTGAGGCAGTAGCCTCACTACAAACGATATCCTGTATTGTGCCTCCCTATCAATCCCTGAAGATGCTCTTACTGGCAACATTTTTGTGACTTTTGGGGATCTTCACTCTGCTCCATCAGCTTCTTTTCTGTGCTTCATCCCAGACATGGCTGCATTTTAAGTGTGGGTTTCTTCCCTAGCAGGAAGCCTTGCAGGCCACACTTAAAAATTCATCTCATGGTAACAGAGGATCCTTGGAGCCAGCAAGGATGGATAAAACAGGAGAAAAGATCCCTCAATATCTCATCTAATGTCTGTGCATCAAGTCTGCTCTTTAAGTAACCACACAGTTCTCCACTGAATCTTTCCCCACCGTGACTTTACAGCAGACACCAGCAAGCCCTGCCACCCTTTGCTGTGGCTGAACTGTTTCTTCCAGTGGAAGACCTCCGTTTCCTTCTTTCTCCTCCTTGAGTCCCAGAGCCTGGAGTCAAGAAAGACACAACAACAAGGCTGCAGATGCAAGGAAACAAGTAGAAATATGTACTTACCCCACGCCAAGGTCTGGATCTTTGCATAAGGTATCAGTATCAGCCCTAAAATGCCCCCCAAGTGCAGCAGGCTCATGAGGATGATATTTCTCCAGACGTATCGCAGCGGGGGCTTGGGACCCTCCTTCTCACGGTAGGTGTCATCGAAGATATCATCCACTGTGCCGCGGTCTCCCGCCAGTTCCTCATGGTTGAGGACGGCCTTCTCCTTGACGGCATGCCCRTTCCTGCTCACCAGAGAGGTGAGGGTGCCAGCAATGGCAGCGGTGTGGACGGAGGAGAACTCCTTGGARAGGCGGCAATGGACATTTTCAAGAAAAGGGAAAACAGAGCAAAATAAGAAGTTAGTGGTTACAAATGCAGGGAATTCAAACACGCACCAGTTGCTCTGGCAGTACCAAGCCTTGGAGACTGTGGCTCTGGGCAGACTGCTTTCTTGCAGCTTTGCTGCTGGCACCGAGACCAGCTGGCTCTAGCTCTATGGAGTGATGCCTGTGAAAGGACTAGGTCTCTTCCTTTGCTGGGAGCAGCTGAATGTTGCACAGGGTGCAGAAAGTAAAGCAAAAGTTCTGAAAGACAATTTTTTTCCACCACTGACTTTGATGAGTTCATTTGTAGGACGCAAGGATTTTAATTTTCCTTCAGTTTTATTTCTGGACATTTTTAGGTGGGCTTGCAGTATGAGCTTGTGTATAAGCAGACAACTTAGACAATAAGATAAAGGAACTCTTTTGAATGAAGAAAGAAGTGGGAGAGAACTATGATCAAAAATAGGATTTTGTTTTAAATTATTGGGTTGCTCCTGATTCTACATTCTCRTGTCACCCCACTTGAAATCACTAGGGGAAGAGTGGACACGTCTTTGTGGTGCCTCTTTATCATCCTTGGCCTCACCACCTGGGGACACGGTCAGACCAACATGCTTTGGGATCGGCAGAGGGAAGCTGCCAAACGGTTATGCTTCCAGTCGGACTTGCAGTTCCTTGGTCATGGCTGGCATTTTCCCTCTTTCCACCCTCTCTCCCTTTTTACCCAGGAGCAAGCTGAGGCACAAGGAAGAGAATCCTTCAGGCAGCCACTACCCAGCAACCAAGAGGAAGATTTAAGAGTCAAGTTCAGTTGCTCCCGCTCCCGGCTCCCCTCCTGTAACCAGGATACARCATTCCCTCTCCACACGCTTGTTTGCCCTGGCTGAGTGACAGGCTGCCTGACCAGGCATGCGTGACGAAAGGAGCCGGCAGGAGTGACCCTAATAAGACAGGTCATTGAACCCTGAATCACCCATTTCCATCCCCGCAATGACAGTTGCAAGTTTACTGGTGCTTGTAGTCTTATGTTGGGGCCAAACCCAAGCACCTGACCAGGCTCGATCTCAGGAGTGCAGAGCATGTGGGATGGGAGCAATGGAAGGGCAGGATACCGCCATTCCCTCACATGTCCTCTTGGGAACCAGCCGGAATGGTCCTGGTGCTTTGGTGCCCGTGACAAAGACGCCGCTGCCTCCACACGTTGAAGGGCAACAGAGGTTGGGCCTGGTAGGAACGGGAGAGCCGAGATCACTGCAGTGACCTTGGCAAACCCTGGAGTCTGCAGCTGGGGAAAGTTCACTTCCAAACTGAAATCCTTCCTGAATTAAAAGCYGATTTACCTCCAGGCATCTGGAATTCCTAAAAGACCACTGCTCTGCCCTGGCCTAGTTTCCTGAGGGAGGCATTGAAATCAGGCCAGCCAGCTTACGTGGCCACCCCAACTCCTCCCTTTCCCAAGGGTAGAAACTAGAGGCTTGCAGACATACCTTCCTACAGGGAGGAGCTGGGAAAGCTGAAAGATCCCTTACATTTGGTAAGCAAAACGGTCTCTATATAGGAAAACCTATAAGCTTTTTCTTCTGCAATCACACATTCTCTGGTTTGAAAGGAAAATAAAAAAGATGCTCAGTGTCCCGATACTCTCAGTGAATGCAGACAACTGTTGAGCTTGGAACCTGCCTTCTCTGCACCCTGGCTATGTCGGCCTCTCCCTGCTTTTCTAATTAATGTCAGTTTTGTGGGTGTGATAGTCTGAGCTCCTGGAGATTTTTATTAGCAATTCTAAAAAAAGAAGCATGAGAAATGGCTTCTAATCCAGAGATTAGGACAGTAAAATTCCTGCCCATTCCGATGTGTCAGATACTCTCATCTGACATTTTGGCAAAAAGGCAGAATTTTCTTCCTTGGCTGGAAGACAATCTACCAAGAAGACCGAAGACTTGTCTATGCAGGAAAAATTCCCAGCAGAGATCTGGTGGTATAATTAGAAGGGTAACACTCCCCACATGGATGTGCTGATTCCAGAGCAAGAGTGCAGGGTTGGAGTTGCATTTTTCTCCTCTGTGGCAGCTTATGGCACTGTCAAAGTTACACAGGAATAAAGGAAGAGGGACAGTGCAAAGAAAAGAGCAGAGAGAGACAAGGCCTCTTCTTAGAGAGCTGGAACAGTCGCACAGGGAATGCTATCATACCTGTGCTGTTAGGATTACACTGATACAAACTGGTCCCATTTCTCGCATATACACTAACCTTAAATCAAAGGGCTGTAAAATGGCTGTAAACCATGGCTCCACCATTACAGACATGGTTGGGGAAGGACGGGGGAAGAGGGAGGGAGCCAGTGGGCAGCTATTTAGCTCGAGACCAGGAAAATGAGCAGGAAAGAAGGAGGATTTTATCCCTTCATGGCTCCAGTGGCTCCTACTGTTTCTCCCAAGAACTCTGGGATGAGGGACTGATTCGGGGGCTAGAGCTGGGAGGGGGAAGGGGTCAGGCAAATCATTTTCAGGAGTTTTCCCTCATTTTGGAATGACTTGGCAGCTCTCATCTGCAGAACAGATGTGTTCCCCCCCCGTCTGCCCCCTACACATACCCCACCAGTGTTAAACACTCTATAGGTTGTCCTGGCAAGCATCCAGGCTACACAACCAACTGGAGCTCATAGGCTCCAGCCCTGGCTCAGCCTGGGGCCCCAGGGCACTCAATGTCTGGTCCAGCTATTTGAATGTGCCCAGCGTGCCCCATGGACAGGATTCCCTCCAGTCTTGAGAATACACAAGCCTAGACCAAGGAATGCAGCCCAAGCGCACTGGTCTTGGCATCCATTTCAGGGAAGAATAGGGAGTACAATTCCTCACGCCACAGCGTCTTTGGAAGGTCACAGCACCTGCACCGAAGCACAGGGAGCGATCCCGTGTGTCGGGGACAGGCAAGGGAGCACAGCTGTTATTTACCTCCTACTCAGCATCTCGGGAAGAGAGGCAGGAGGAGGATGCAAGAAAAGAACATCGGAATCAGCCCCTGCTTCCCCCAGGCAAAGGGGGAATTTCAGGAGGCACAGAAAAAGATGAAAAGGGGAGGAAAAAAAGTCTGTAAAAATCCAACAACTCTGCCTGTCTTCCTGTTGCTGGGTCATTATTCAATCCTTCCTCTGACCAAAGTGGGCTGTTCCCCCGCCCCGCCGTGCCCGTTTTGCTCAGCTAAGGCAGAGCAGACACAATCATTCCTCTCATCTGGGCAGCTCGAGCTGCTTTCACCTTGCGCCTGTCCTAGAGACGCACCACACTGCAACAATTGGGTTACGAATGCTGTAAGAAAAACCCTTTCTTATGAAAAAAAAACCCCTCATCTGAGCATTACCAAAAACCACAGTACATCTTGGCACAATAAACCCTCCCAAACGACTCTTACCAGAATGCTATGCTTGATGTTTTTAAAACCAGCCTGTATTTTAGTCTCGGTGTATTCCAGGGCACTCCCTCCCCAGACCTTCCCCGGGGAGATAATCCTGGCGGTGGATATTCCTRCCTCATTCACTGGCGCCCCATGAGGTTTGAGGGATGGCTCAAGTGAGCCCCAAATACCTTTGCCTAGCGATTGCAAAGCGACACACGCGTGCACGCGGGCAGACGTATAGATAAAGCGATAGATAGAAATCTCCCCATAAAGGAACAAGCAACGAACCCGTCATTAACTGAAAACGCCGAAGAGAAGAAAGAAAACAGAGAAAAAAAAAAAAAAAAAAAAAAAAAAAAAAAAAAAAAGAAGAGGAAGGAGCTAGGGCTGCACAAAGAGCTGCGCGCAGCAGCACGGCGAGGCGCGCACGGCCGCGCAGCCCCCGCGCCGCTCGGCGCCTACCTCCTCCTGCAGCAAATGCGCAGGCATTTGGCGGCCGCGCTGCGTCCCAGCCCCCGGCTCTGGATGCGCTGCTCGGCGGCGCTGCGCGGGCGCGCAAGTCCCCCGGCTCCGGATGCGCTGCTCGGCGGCGCTGCGCGGATGCGCACGTCCCCGCTGCGCTGCGCCGCTGGCTCTGCGTGTGCTGCTGTCGGCGCGGGGCCCGGCGCGCTGTGCAAGCGCTGGGGCGGGCGGCGCGCGGTATTTAAGCGGTGCCCCCCTGGCCGCGGCTGCGCTGCGCTGCGCTGCGATGCGCGGGGTCAGCGCGGCGGGCGGCGAGTCGCGCAGGGGCCCGGCTGCCGGCGAGCCCGCCGGGGGGCGGGACGGGGGCGGGCGCCGGGAGGATGCTGAGGATGAGGAGGATGGCGAGGGCCAGGCTCTTTCATGATGCCTGGTTGCTTTTTTTTTTTTAATTCTTTTTTTTTTTTCTTTTTTTTCCCCCCCCCTCCCTCCCCCTCGCGATCCCATTGGCTGCGGGAAATTTGGTGCCACCTCGGCCTGCGCTCGCCATTGGCTGGGCGCAATCTGCTGTTCGCTCCCCGCGGCGCGCAGCCTGCGCGCCCGCGCAGCGCCCCGCGCGCGCGCGCCGGGAGCCGCGGCGCCGCCAGCCGCGCTTTGTGTGCGCGTGTGCGCAGCGGAAAGCGCCTCCTTTGTGCAGGGGAGCCGCGGCACAGCCGTATAGGCACCTATGAACTGTGCATCGCTATGGAAAGGAGCTCACGTGCCCACCCGGAGAGGCAAGGGGCTCTGCAAGGGTGCGCATGTCATGTAGGCAACCGGTCTGGAAAACGCAGGCTGGGCCTTTCCATGTCTTAAAATTTGTAATTCTGGCYGTTTTCCACAGTCCCTTTTTAGGAGGCGAAGGCTTGGGAGAGATGGGAGTAAGATCAAAGGAAAAAAGAAGCTCCGTCTGCTGAGGAGTATTTCATGTAAGAATTTTGCAGCCAGCCCCAGCAATGCCAGTGACGGGGAAATCCATGCTCTTCCCACGGAGGCCTTCACCCTCAGGAGCTAGTGAGAAAGAGGGCCTTACAAAAAGAGCTGCCCATGGCGGAGTCATGTGGATCTGCACAAGTGGAGATCCCTGTGTGGTCTCCAGGCCAGAGCCGGAGCTGGGCATCAGCAGAGCCTGGAGGGCCTTGTCATCTCACCCTGGTGCCATTACCTCAGCAAGGGGGTGTCCCCAATCCTTGCCCACCTTCCRAGGAATTCCTAGCTGAATGGGATTCCCACATTGAAGCATCTTTCACCCTGGCAAACATATCATGCTGTCCCAGCAGCTATCCCTCGGCGAGGAGAGATGGCTCTGGCCACACGAGGGATGCAGAAGGACAACCAGCTCCTTGCAGTATCTGCCCCTGGGCTGATCCTGCCCAAAAACACGGGGGCTGATTCCGTGATAGCCATAGGAGAGAGCGGTGTTGAAATCACTGTGACAGTGGAAACTAAGAGCAGCTCAGCTGCTCTCTGCAGTTAAACTGGCCAGCAAAGGGGAAAAATGTCTCTCCTTTTTTCGTTTTTTTTTTTTTTTTCTTTTTGTCTTGAGTGAAGAGATTTGAAAGGTGTCTGTGTTTTAGTTATTACATTAGAAGCTTGAGTTTCACCTATTCTCTGAGGGTATTAAACCAAAGAGCCCACATCCACAGAGCTTCCTTAACAGTGAGAGCTGAGGGGAATCAGAAAGGGAATTTTAMCTGTATCTTCTAAGACTCTTTGCTAAGTGTTTGATTACCCCTGCTGATGGCTGCTGAACTTCAGGGAGAAATGATGCTCTAGTTAAAGATTCCATCTGATTTCTGCGTGAACATTGGAGCAACCATAAACTGTGCTAGAAACTACATTAGGGAAATCAGACTCCTGCTATTTCCATGGAAAAAAAAAATAAGAAAGAAAATAAAGATAAAATAAAAGGGGAGAGGGAAATCTTATTGGAAAACAAATCAGGGGCTCATGCCACCTGGAGGACATAATTCCAATGCGAGGAAATAAAGGGAGAATTGGAAATGTTACTGTTTGGCGAAAATGAGCCTTTGGGAGAGTTTGCAGTTGCAATGGCTTTGGGAATGACTCCAACTWTGCAGTTTCACGGGTACCCAGACCCACGAGAGCCTTTGCTTTCTCACTGATTCTATTCCCCAGACACAGCCCATGGCTAAAAGAGAATTTATAGAGCAGCTAGAATTTGCCACCTTCTAAAAATAACATTATTTCTGGCTGTTCCCACAAGACCGGGGTGAGTTTTATGAACATTCCTCTACCAGATTATCTTGGGACTTGACCATCACATTTTTTTCTTACATAGAGGGAAAGACAGATGTGGACCACTTTCAAGGTTTGGCTCGCCTGGCTGATTCCTATGCTCACAGGTAGCATGTTGCTGATTAAAAAAAAAAAAAAAAAGAGAGGCGGCCTTGTCAGCATAATCTGCTCCTCCAGCTATTATTTTGATCACTTTTGAAATAGCTTAGTGCTCTTGAACATGGCCATGAGGTGCAGGCGTTGACATCTTGGCAAGACATGTGGCGTAAGTTACTTTTCCGGTGCTCGGATTGCACGGATCCAACCTCGCCTGGCCAAGAGGCTCTGCCCTCTGAGGGCTGCGGGCCGAGGCTCCCTCTCGTGGAGAGCGGCTGCTGGCCCGGACTGGGGAGCCGTCCCGCAGCCCGTTCCTGCCAGGGTGCACGGGGGCAGGCTGTGCCYGAGGTGCTCGGGCAGCTGGTGGTACCCGACACCTTGTCTGACACATCCCTGCTGCACTGACTGTGGTCACTGCAGTGTCCAGGCTGCAGGGTCTGGCTTAGGTGGGCCACCAAAGCTCCAGATGGAGCAGCCCTCGAGCTCTCCAGAGCTGCCACAGAGCAGAGGAGCTGGATCCCCGGACAGGAGGAATCAGCCAAGCCAGGAGCTCCCATGCGGTGGCTGCAGCCTCTGCTGCAGAATTCAGCCACATCAGCGTGTTGTTCAATGCTTGGCACAAAAGGAGCATCACTGGCCAGCTCCAGTGAGATGCCTGTTAGAAATCTCTGATACAGACACAGCAATCCTAGTTAAACTGCGTTTTCCTTATGGCAGTTTTTGTCTCTTCAGACAGAGTTTTCTTTTTTTTTCTCTTCTGCTTTGGTGTGCAGCAGTGGAAGCACGTCCCTAGTGGAGTTCACCAACACTTCTTAGCAAGGATTCAGCGTTACTTACCCTCCCCAGGAAAGTGATTCAAGCTTTCTGTGTCTTGTGACAGCCACTTCATGTCATGGGCCTTCATAAAGGAGCCGATGCAGTGGCAGGGGCCCTGCCACTGGGCTCTGCACACAGGCAGCACGGAGCAGGAGCTGCAGCTCCCTCTTCCCTTAGAAATGCACGGCAAATATTTAAGGCTGCTTTCACATTCACAAGTTGTGTCTTTTCCAAGGATTCACGATATGGCCAAGGCATTGTGGTAATGCAGGACCCTTGCAGAGCACTTTTTGTCTCAGGGTCTCAAAATGGTTTATCAAGGCTGGAGAAACTGAGGCACGAACCAGCAGTGAGAGTCACTATTTAAGTGACTAAGTCACTATTGGAGAACAGAGCTCAAATGAGAAAGAATCACTCCATTCCTCTCCTAGGCTCTGCTATCCAGTCTGATTTTGCTACCATGGTGCCAGTGCCAGGATGCATGAAAAAAAGCAACAAGGCCAAGCTAAAGACTTTGTATCCAGTTTTCTTCTGACTGTCCCCCTTGCAAAAAAAGAAAAAAATTGCTTTTCCAATTCAGCAGAAAGTTTTGCAAGATGATTTCCTCTGGTGTTGACACCTTGGAAATTTTAATGACTATCCCCAGTGCCCCCTTCAAAAAATATGGGAAAAACCCACACACATGGAAAAAAAAGCTTGCTGTAAGGGTTTTGCAAGATTTGTTTCAAATTGTTTGTTTAGCTTCTTTTACAGCTCTCCTTTTTCTTCTATTTCACTGCTGAAAGCTGAAAAGAAGTGGAGAATTAAAAGACATGAGACAAACTGAAAACTGGAGAAAGAGCTGAACTCTGCTCCTTATCCCTCTGCCAAAACTAAAGGTTTGCAAAAATTATCTAGAATTATTTTCTGCATCTCTTGCATTTTTTTTTATGAAGAAATGTGAAGCAATTCAAGCACTAGAACTTTTTCTAAAGATAGGAGCATCACTCCATGGGCCTTTCATCCAGAGAGAACTGCAGTGTTTTATTTATTTATTTATTTATTTATTTATTTATTTAGTCATTTCACCAAGTTTTCTTTCTTCCTCCTCCCTCCTCTCAGAAGAAAATCTGCCCTCCCGAAGGGATCTATCCGTACATGCGGGTAGGTGCACCTGTGTGGTTCATCGCTGGCTGCCAGCAATGTCAGAGGTTGATGGTTCTCTGGTTCTCATTAGGGTTGGTTTCTGCACGCAGTTATGCATGGCAGAGAAATGAGGTGATGGCCCGGAATGAGTTGGGGCAAGATCTGGCTCAGAAAATTAGACTTCACAGTTAATCCTTGCTTGAGAGATGGATGATGGCAGCAAGCAGCCAGGATTCTCGGTCATAGGAATTCAAATATCATGGAATCAAATCCGCAGGTCAGCAGGATCTCATCCTCATTTAATGTTGCTTTCTTTCTCTGTGCTGTCTTTCTGCTTCTGTTGATCTTGTATTATATTTTCCTGCCTTTTTCCTCAGCCAAGAGAGCTAGCAAATGATTCTCCTTTTTGAAATGGAATGCTAAGATCTTTGTGGAAACACCAGGCTCCAGAAACAGGCACTTGAAAAGTTAAGTATCATAGTGTTTATTAGAATTTACTTTTGCAAGACCTGACTTCGTCTTGTTTGCTTACTTGCTTTCTATCATGTCTCCCCATCCATAAACATCATCTGTAACTTCATAAATTCAGTGGATCCCACATATCCCTGAAGATCTCCTGCTCCATCCTGCTGCTCAGGAGCTGCTCAGGAGCTCCCACAAAAGCAGCACTGGCCAAGCCTCTGTTGTCTTCCTGTGGGATCACACAGGCCAAGGGGAGGACACCGTATTCCTGCCCACATCCAACCACCA